GGGTTTGCCAGGACTCGGGTTCGCCATTTTTTTTTGACGACCGCGCCTCGGATTTTGACGAGCAGGGGTTTCGTGGGATGTCTGCAGCGGGAGGCCTCGTCAAAATGTGGGCTCGGCCTCGTCGTTTTTTTGACGACCTCGTCGGGGATTTCCGAGTCCCCCGTGCCCGGGTCTTACGTCTCCCCGAAGTCTTTGCTGTCCCCCCCTTGTCGCCCGACCCGATGGAGGAGCTCGGGGCGCGGACGCCTCGTTCTCGTGCGAGGGGGGTCGTGGCCTCGGGAGCTCGGCTCCCTGGTGCCTTCCTTCGCGTTTGTGCGTGCAGTCGGCCCAGGTTACTCCAGATTTCGTAATAAATCACCACCCACCAAACCACCCCAACCCAACCCGAAGGGTCAAATTTACCCTCGATTTCTAGTGGGGGGGGTCCGGGAACATCGAAAAAACACATATGGAGCCCATACCCCCCCCAACCCGAAATTCGGGTCTTCGGGTTGGGTTGGGGTTGTCTGGTAGGTAGTCAATAAAAGGGAGGGGGTCTGGACCCCCCAAGACAAACTATTTCAGGCCTCCCCCGTGGGAGAACCCTCCAGAACATCGTCCCCAGACCCCCCCGGGCCCTCCAAGATAAGATAGCCTGGAAGAGACCCCCCCCGAAATGAGACCCCCCTCCCTTTATTACGAAATCTGGAGTAGCAGGTCGACTCTGCCAAATCAAGGGGACCCTTGTGTCCTGTGTCTCGCGACCCATGCTTCCTGCATTCCTGTGGTAATGTGGCCCTCGGAAGGGTCTTGTGTCCTCTCGCGTGTCCTGTACAATCGAGTCCGACTGCAGATTGCATCACACATCCTGCTAGACAGCACTGTTTGGGCTGCGCGCTGGGTAGCATGTCAGTTCAACAGGGGTCGTGGCCACGGGAGCAGGGGGTATGCATGCGCTTGTCCGCGGATTCCCCAGAAGCAAATATGGGAAAATATCGGAAATGGGGGGAAGACAGAAATCCAGAACATATTGACAAATATGGGGAATCGTGTTATTTGTGTATTTTTTTTGTGTCTCTGGGCCCATTCAGAGGTGTGGGGGGGGGGCCGAGGCGTGTGGGGGGCCTTTTGAAAAATAGCCTGGCGAAGGACCCAGCCATGTGCAGTTGTGCGTGCCGCAGCTGTGAGCATCGGTTTCGGTAGCGCTCCCTGTAGGGCCGCCGACCGTGCGAGGGGGGTGCCAAAAGAAGGCGGGGGGGAGGTGGGGCGTATGGGAGCATCGCCATGGGGGCCGTCGGTCGAGCACCCTGCGGGGCCACGAAGCGCGTGAGGGGTGTGCCGGCATGGGGCGGTGGTGTCATGCGAACCCTCCCACGGGGGCCACCAAGCGCGTGAGGGGTGTGCCGAAATGGGGCGGCGTTGCCATGCGCATCCTTCCACTGGGGCCTGCAGCGGAGCTCCCTTTTGGGCCACGAAGCGTGTGAGGGGTGTGCTGAAATGCGGCGGTGGAGCCATGCGAATCCTCCCACTGGGGTCTTTGTGGAGCTCCCTATGGGGCCACGGAACGTGTGAGGGGTGTGCTGAAATGCGGCGGTGGTTCCATGCGAACCCTCCCATTGGCGCCGACGGTGGAGCTCCCTACTGGGCCGCGAAGCGTGTGAGGGGAACCCCGAAACAGGAGGAGGAGGGGAGGAGTGACACGGGGTGCTGTCTCGTCAAAGCGAGGACCTCACACCACAGGATGATCTGGAACAAAGAAACCTGCAGAGCAGCACCTGGCATTCCTAACACGGCCACATTTTCAGTGACGGACATAGCGGCACACGAGAAGCTGGAGGGCGTGGAGGGATGGAGGAAGCCAGGCGGGTGTGGAGGCGGGGCAGAACGACGTGATGGAGACGAGGCGGTGAGGGAGACGGGGGTGAAGGTTTGGGGGGGAGGACGGAGATGAGCTCGAAGGGCGAGGAAGGCGACATACGATGAGGATGACGGGACTTGGGGGAGGGAAGGAGCTGTGATCATGGACCTCCGTACCCCTAGCGCCGGGCATGTCCATGTTCGATGCTCGTTCCGTGGACTTTCCTGGAGCCCACCAAACGGATCTGTTCGACCCCAGTTCGACTCAAGTTCGTTTCAAGTTCGACTCAAGTTCGACTCAAGTTCGACTCAGGTTCGACGCAGGTTCGACTCAGGTTCGACTCAGGGTCGACCCAAATCGACTGACGTTCGACGCAGCTTCGACGCACGAGTGGAGCGGGTGGCTCCAGGAAGGTCCCCAGAACGAGCATCCAATCCATGGGAGCTTGGCAAGGTTTCCTGCGTCCGGCAGGGTGTCTTCGACCCCCGCGGCATGGGGTGCCCCGCCGCTGCCCGGCGTCAATCGGCGGCGAGCGGAGGGCGGAAGTGAGAAGGAGGAGGCCCTCCGAGATCGGGGGCGGCCAAGATCAGGAGCGAACGAAGGCCGTACACGTACATGAATCCACGCTGGTTTCGAGAGTACGCATTGCCCGAAAGTTCGTATCACGCGGCCGGTCTCGCAGATCGAGGGGCCGTGTTCATGTACATAGCTGGGCGCGTACGTCCTTTGTGGGCTCCCTACAAGAGGGGGCTGGTGACTGAGGGGGGGATGCCATGGCGGGGGCCATGATATCTCCCCAGATGTCATGGCGCCTCGTCTCAGTTCATGACGTCCCCAGCCCCCCCCTCCCTTTGGCCGCGCACATGCCGCCGGCCATGATTTGCGCACCCCCCTCCTGGACTCGGGCCGGGCGAAAGGGGGGGATTGGGAAAGGGGGGGGTACGAAATTTGCTGCATGCAGCTGGTTTCGGCCTCGCCGAGGGGCCCATTCCTCGATACGTGGCCGCCTCCGGCGCCGGGAGGCGCCGGGAAAATCAGCTACGCGAGCTGATTCTCAAACCCCCGCTTTGCTGTCCCCCCTTGTCGCCCGACCCGATGGACGCTCCCCTCTGGGCCGCCCCCGAAAAATGCGGCGGGACTCCTCAGAAGCCCTCGCGCCTTCTGCGAAGTGCTCTGCGTCCTCGGGGGAGGCTTTTGGACAACTTCCCAGAGGGCCGGGGCACTTCCGAGCCCTCTGAGAGGGCCCGCCCCCTCTCCGTTTCCCCCCCCCCCGGGCGCGCCGCCTGGTCCAGGAGGCCGCGCCCGCAGCCATTTTGGCTCGGGGCGACCTCCGGGTCCTGGGCTCAGGCGGTGGCCCGTGCGGCTCCCCTTGCTCGGGCCTCCTTCGATCCCTCCGGCTCGACTCGATTCGGCTTCGGTCGTCTCCGAGTCAGATTCGAATCGAGTTCGGAGCCCGATTCGGGTTTCGGCTTCTCGTCGAAGGCGTGACTAGCCTGCGGGTTTCCGCCGGTTCGATTTCTCCCGATGCGGCTGCCGATTTCCGCCGATCCGAGCCACCTCGATCGCCGATCCGACTTATCAATTCGATTCTGGGCTCTCCTGTGCTAGAACCCCCCCTTTGGTTCGCGGAGAGCGCCAGGCGGCGCCTCTGGCCGTTGATCCAGGAATTCCGCGCGGACCTCCCACAGTGTTTGTCTTCGTGCCGTATCTGGTTCCTCCTGCCGGGTGCTCCTCAGCCCTTGCAACGAAGACCTCCCAGCAGTTGCTCAGGAGGGAAAAAAACACACAGACACAATTCATCGTCGAGTCCCCAGAAAATATGGGAAAGTATGGGAAGTGGGGGGGAAGACAAAAACCCAGAAAATATAAAAAAAATAGGGAATTTGGGTATTTGTGTGTATTTATTTGTGTGTCCCAGTTCCCCTTCAGTTGCCTCCTAGGGGTGGTCGACATCTGGGCGAGAGCCGGTCGACAAAAAAGCACGCTCACGAGAGGGCCGCGCGAGCCCCCCGAGGCTCACGCAAGCAGCCTCGCCCGGCCCCACTTCCTGCCGTGCCGGGCAGTGCGGCGCCCCCCCCTTTTGTTGAGGGCGTTCTGCATTGGGTGCGTGTAAGTCGGGCCTGTCCCTCTACAGGAGGAAGTTTCAAAACATAGCACAATAACTAGTTTTGGGACGTTTTCCAATATATATATATATATATATATATATATATATACATATATACACACAATACACAAGTTTTGCATATTTTTCCATTTCCAGCTTTCATCCACAATCTGCCTGTAGGGGGAACGAGAGACTTGGGTAAGATGCCCAGCAGCAGGCGTTTTCCAAAGCCGACAGCGGCCGCTGTCGGGCAGGCGGCCTCCTGCCCGGAGTGGGCAGCTTCCGCGTCGACACCGCCAGCGAGCCCTCTCAGAATAAACAGGTGGGCGCTGTTGTTTTCCTCCCCTAGGCAAACGCTCGTTACCCGGCCCAGCCCCCCTCCCCCCCCTTGGATGCTGTGGTGGGCACAGGCGGCTGATGCGCTGGTGGCGCGGACGCACCCTGGCGGGTGCACGCCGCGACCGCCGTCACCGTTACCCTCCCGCCCGATCCCCCCGTCCCCGGGTACAACGACAGTGCCCCCGGAAATAACAAAAACACAGTCACGAGGAAATGCTTAGGGGAACGAAGAATGACATAAACATAAAATTGGAGGTCCGCGCGGATTTCTCGGATCGGCGTTGGACCCCCGTCCCTGGCGCGCGGAACGCGCCAGGGGCGGCGCCAGAGGCGCCGCCAGGGGGTCCCCAGTGCAGATCCGAGAGATCCGCGTGGACCCCCGAGCTTCGTTCCCCTAATGCTGCCAGTCTTTGCACCCATTCTGTCCCGGCTTCTCCGCCTCGCCCTCCTCCGCCTCCCTTCTCCTCGCGTCCACCCCCTCCTCCTCCTCCTCCTGCTCCTTCTCCTCCTCCTCCTCCTCCTCCTCCTCCTCTCCTCCTCTCCCCTCCTCCCCCCTCCCCCTCCCCCTCCCCCTCCCCCTCCTCCCCCTGCACCTCCGCCTCCTCCTCGCGTCCTCCTCCTCCCTCCTCCTCGCGTCCTCCTCCTCCTCCTCCTCCTCCTCCTCCTCCTCCTCCTCCTCCTCCCCCTCCTCCTTCTCCTCCTCCTCCTCCCCTGTCCGCACGTGCCCGCCTCGATCCTCCCGACTTGTGCAGCCCATGGCGGCGGGGAGAGTGGCACGCCCCGCGGTGCGCGGCGGCCGCCGCGGTGGGGCCCGCGCCGGCGCCCTGGTGCTCGCGTGGCTGGTTGGCTCGGCGCCGCGCCTCGCGGGGGCGCGGGAGGACCGGTGTCGGAAGCTCGAGCAAATACATTACGAGTGGCGGGCCGTTTTTCAATGCCAGAACTTGTTGAGGGTCGGGGACGACGTCGGGGTGGTGTGGTGTATACTTCTTGTCCCATTCCCCGGGGGGGGGGACATAAGAAATGTATACACCAGGATCCGTATACACCAGGATCCGCTTTCCTGTGCGCATTTCAGTGCGGGGCCCGGAAAAAAAGCGTCGTTGTATAGAGTTGGTTTCCCTAGGGAGGACTGCTGTGCCGCGCGAGTCGGCCGCCATGAAGCACCCCCCCAGACATGCTCGCGTCGTAAAGAGATCAGGACGGCAGGCTCTTCAGTATCTTCGGCCCCCGGAGGCTCTCGCCGGGCCCCTCGGGAGCGTCAAGAAACGACTCGGGATGAGAAGCCAGCCCCGGGGAATGGATCGGGACTTCCGGGGACGCCGTCTTGACAGAATCAGGACGTCGCATGTCTGGGTCGATTGCACGAAAGAGTGACCCTTCGCCGGTGTGACCTTTTGGTGCGCGCCCACTGGGGCCCCCCGATCGCCGAGTGCGAGGCGGCGGTGGCGTCTTGCCCGCCTGTGTGTTGGCCCCCCCGCGGCCCCCCGAAAGCCGCGCACCAGAGGTCACTCCAACCGACAGCAGGCGGGGATCCATAGGTTTTGGTCGCTGTTGCTTTGGGACCCGCGGGGCCAGTTTTCCGGGCCCGGGGCCTGTGGAACAACGGCTCGGGATGAAGAGATGGTCCTGTCAGCAGGGGGGGATTGGCATATAGGTGGGGGGACGCATCGGCCCCCGATCGCCGACGGATCGCCTATACCGTCGGCCCGGTTTAGTAATCAGCTCGACCCTGCCAGCTCAAGGGTACCCTCGTGTCCAGTGCCTCGCGACACGTGCATTCTCATTCTCCTACAGTCGGGGCCCTGAAGAAGGAACCCTTTTGGTTGGGAAGGGGCTCCGCGTTCCTCAAGTGTTTCACAGCTTGCCTCAGGTTTTCCTTATGTTTTCGATCGGAAATCGAAGTTAGACTTATGGGAAAAAAGGGGCCTCGTTCCTTATTTAGGGTTCCTTAGGTCAACGCCCCAACTGTATGGCAATGTGGCCCTGAGAAGGGTCTTGTGCCCTCTCGCTCGCGTGCCCTGTCCGCTGAGGTCCGACTGCAGGGGCCCGCTAGTCCCAAGCCGCCTGGGAGCGCTTGGAGCCGCGCTCGGGGGCCCCCATCGCCGATCTTTCGGCGAGGTATCGCCGATGCCAGGCCGATGTGTCCCGCCTCTGCCAGCCCCCCCCCCCGCATCGGTGCCCCTCGTCCGAAGGCCCCCATGGCTTGGCATCGCTCGGACGTGTGCATTTTTCCTTCGGCGAGGACCATCTAGGAACATCCTTGATCATTTGGCGAAAAAAACACGCACGAAATCAAAAAAAACACAGGGAATGGACGTCCGAGCGACGCCCAGATGGGGCCATGGGACCCGTTTTCCCTCTCATGACCGGGCTGCCTCCGGCCAAACAGTGTGGGGAACAGACAGTGGCAGGAACACAGCCGTAGCTTTCGTCTTCGCCGTCTTGCCGACCGGCGCGGGGTCTCGCACCCTGCCTCCCCCCCCCTGTGGAGTAGATCTCGGCCGCTTTCTGCGCCTGCTTCGAGCAGTTGCAGCCTCTCCCATCGGACGCGCTGCTGCAAACGGTCGCACCACACAGGGGCCCGGAGCCAGAACCCCCTTTCCAATCCCCCCCTTCCGCCCAATGTCAAAACGCCGAATAAGGAAAAACGTTCACCGAGGCGCTGAGATGAGAGCTGCTTTGGGTTCAGAGGGGGCTCGCTGTGCCTGTGGTCCTTCCGCGGCTGTCAAGTGATGATCCTCGTGCACCTGGGCGCCTGTGGTGCCAGCGAGGGGCTGCGTTCCTATGTGCCGTTCCTTCTGGCAGCGCCTTGACTGTAAACTTTCGGGGGTCCGCGTGGATTGATCGGATATCGGCGGTGGAACCCCTCTGGCGGCGCCTCGGGCGCCGCCCCCTGGCGCGCAGAGCGCGGCGGCCTCCAGAAGTGTATGTTTATGTTATCGCTTGTTCCCCTAGAATCAAGTCGGGCCTGTCTTTCTACAGGAGGTATACTGAAAACAAAAACTGTCAAGAAATAGTCTGGGGACGATTCTGTTCATTATGTTGAACTAGTTTCGAATATGTTTGACTACTTGCTAGCATTCGTAGCAGACCCGCCTGTAGGAGGACATGCCCGACCTGACCCTAGAACCAGCCGGAGGTGGACAGGACCCCCCGCCCTTCGGGCGGGTGGTACGGGGGGTGGCCCCGACAGGGGGGGGGGTACCAGTTTGAGACATATCCCTACACCTTAGGCGATGTTTAAGAAAACTTAAATTTTCGGCCAGGGTCTCGATTATTCTTAATGTTTCAATGTAAATCCTAAGATTCGAATGGGAATTTTGGGTTTTTATTCAAGTTCTGAGACTATGATTTTCTTAACCCATGATTTCTTAAGCATTTCGCAGGGTGTATCCCTATGTTTGACATCACCTCACCTGGATGCCGATCTTACGGATGCCCTCAGTTTCTGAGGGCCCGTCCCCAAGATTGTCCTCGCTCTTTGCTCGCCCGTCTCAGGGATAGGGATGCGTTCGAGGCTGGTTAGGGGGGGAGGGAGGGGGCGGAGAGGTGCCCTCCAGGAGCCCCCTTGTGGAGCCAGCGGGTGCCCGCGAGGGGCCCCTTTCTAGGGGGCCCGGAAGGGCCACCCCCCAGCGCAGTCAACCCGCACGGTAAGGATGGGCAGCGTTCCCAGGGGCACCCCTTGCATCCTTCAGGAGGAAAAGAAACACACAGACACAATTAATCCTCGATTCCCCAGAAAATATGGGAAAATATGGGAAGTGGGGGGGAAGACAGAAACCCCGAAAATATGGGAAAATATGGGGATTTGTTTTATTTGTGTGTATTTATTTGTGTGTCCTGGGGCCCCTTCAATCCTTGCCTCCTGGGTTCATCCTCACGGGGCGTGCAAATGACCACAGCCACTGCTCTTCTTTAGATGCCACCTTCCGGCCCGCGGCAACAAAGCAGTGGCTGCGGTCATCTTCGATGAGCCTGGCACCAGGTAGATGACCACAACCACTGCTTCTTTTTCGGCCGGCTGGAAGGCGGCGCACACAAGAAGCAGTGGCTGTGGTCATTTTCCCGTCCCGCAGTCCTCGGCCACTTTCGTCGGCAGAGCCCCGCTCCAGAAGCTTCGACATGGGCCTCCAGGGCCCCTTGCATCCTCACCGCGCATCCCTGCGGTCCGGGCCGACTGTGCCACACGCCCGGGCCCTGCCGAGGCGATCAGCGAGTGGCCCTCGCGCGGCTTCCCTGAGGGGGTGCTGTGGCCGCAAATTGTTTCTGCCAGCCTGCGCCCGCCAGGTCTGGTCCCAGGGTCGGTTTCGCCGAGGGGTGCTTCGCCAGGGTTAACAAAGTCGGGCGTGCCCCTCTAAATTCGGAAGATTCAGAATTAGTACACAGAGAGTTCGGGATGATTCTCCTGTGATTTGTCGACTAGTTTGGGGTGTTGTTGAATTGCTTTCTGATTTTCTTGCAGAGTCTGCCTGTAGGGGGACATGCCCGACCCATGCCAGGGAGGTGGTCCCGTCCTCCGCCGCAGGAGCGCAGGGCGCGAGCGGGGGGGGGGGGGGGCCTCCTCTCGGGAGGCAGACTTGGCATCGCTCCGGCGTGTGCATTTTTCCTTCGGCGAGGACCATCGAGGAGCATCCTTGATCATTTGGCGAAAAAGCCACGCTCGAAACCGAACAAAGCACAGGGAATGGACGTCCGAGCGATGGCGAGCGGAGGGGTTCGGACCACCGAGGGCAGGAGCCCCGAACCTTGATATCACTACGAGAACGTGTCCTGACATCGGACCCCGTCTTCGCAGTAGGGATCCTGCATCCAGGCGGTTTGGCTGGATACCTCTGCAGAAAAGCCCCCCCCCCCTGTCCCCAGGGTTGGGGTTTACGTAATCGCATCGCTCATTCCGCTGGCCCTGGAGCCCTCTTGAGGGCCTCTCGGGGGCCTCTTGGGGACCTCTTGGGAGTCTCTTGGGGTTCCTTGGCGGCCTCTTGGGGCGCTCTTGGGGGCCTCTTGGAGCGGGAGGGGGGGTAGTCGATTGCGGCTCCCCCCTCGGAGGCCACGATCCTCGTGAGGGGTATCAGAAAATTGCCCGATCCGGCATCTCTGACCTGGACTCGCCGGGGGTACTTTTCGCCCGGAGACCCCCAGGGCCGCCCCGCGTGCGCGAAGTAGAATATTGTTAACCAGTTACCGGAGATCTTAGCACGACTCTGGCCCGTTGGGCCGGCGAATTTTTGCTAATCATCTCAGAAGTGCATGCAGGATCCTGCAGGCTCCTGCGCAGCCAGCGCTGCACTGACCCGGGCTAGCGAGCAGGACCCTGCAGGATCTTGCTCCATCCTGCAAGCCCAGGCCTCCGAGGATATGTTGTTTTCAATGTTTCCCAACCATCCAATGTTGTTGGATCCTCGGTTTGAAGAGACGGTCCCCGCGTTCCTCCCTCCTTCCTTCCTCCCTCCTTCTCCCCCTCCTCCCTCCTCCCCTCCTCCTCCCTCCCTGCGTTTCACCCACCCAGTACAGCGTTTCGTGGCCTCATAGGGAGCTCCACCGAAGGCCACAGTGGCAGGGTTCGCATGGCGGCCCCGCGTTTTGGCGCACCCCTCACACGGTTCGTGGCACCATGGGGTGCTCCACCGAAGGCTCCAGTGACAGGGTTCGCATGGCGGCCCCGTTCTATTTTGGCGCACCCTTCACACGGCTCGTGGCCCCATAGGCAGTTCCACCGAAGGCCCCACTGGCAGGGTTCGCATGGCGGCCCAGCCCCATTTTGGCGCACCCCTCACACGGTTCGTGGCCCCATGGGGAGCTCCACCGAAGGCCCCAGTGGCAGGGTTCGCATGGCGGCCCCGTTCTATTTTGGCGCACCCCTCACACGGTTCGTGGCCCCATGGGGAGCGCCACGGAAAGCCACAGTGGCAAGGTTCGCATGGCGGCCCAGCGCCATTTTGGCGCACCCCTCGCACGGTTCGTGACCCCATCGGGAGTTCCACCGAAGGCCCCAGTGGCAGGGTTCGCGTGGCGGCCCAGCCCCATTTTGGCGCACCCCTCACACGGTTCGTGGCCCCACTGGGGCTCCACCGAAGACCCCAGTGGCAGGGTTCGCATGGCGGCCCAGCCCCATTTTGGCGCACCCCTCACACGGTTCGTGGCCCCATTGGGAATTCCCCTTGCTTCGTCCCACCTGCCTTGCGGCTCTCACACTTGCGTATGGTTGGGTCCTTCGCCGGGATTTGTTGTTCCTGCATCTCGGCCTCCTGGGCCCGTTTTCGGGCCGTGTGACCATCAAAAACGGATCCTGGGGCAACTGTCCTCCCAGGGAGAGGGAGACGGCCGCGGATTGATGATAGGGTGTCTGGGAAGCCTGACGGACCCAGGTTTGCATTGACCTGGGTCATTGCGTCGCCGATGCCCACGAGCCGGCGGGAGGGCTTCTGAGAGACCACCCGCCTTCTTCTGGGCCTCCTAGACTAGGTCCAAGTAGATGGGGGGCGCCGCATCGACGATGCGGCTCGATGCGGAGCCCGTGTTTCCCCATGCCGACGTCGCCGATGCATCGCCGACGTCGCCGATGGATGCATCGCCGCTGCATCGCCGATGCATCGGCGATGCAGTGGCGATGCGGCGCGATCCTCCGACCCCATCTACTCGGTCCCCATCTAGGAGGCCTCTACCGAGGCACCTTGGGCTTGCTCTTGGCCCCCTTCCAAGGTCCGTCCAGATGCGAGCGGTCCGCTTCCAGACCTTGGCGGCGAGCGAGGGGGGGAAGCCAGGAGGAGGAGGCCTCGTCAGAGGGTGGCGGGACTTCTCGGACGCCCATCCATCGGGTATAGCCAGGACCCCGGTTGAGGGGAGCCGGTTAGTGTTTGGGCCCCGAAGCCCAAAATATGGATTGGAATCACTAAACCAGGTTTGCCATAGCTGGTGTTTCTCGCGTGACGGCAATCCCGCTTTCTGGAACGGGGCGGGTGGGGCGTCCCTGGTATAGATTACAAAACCATGCCACAGTAAATCCAGTCATGCCATCGCCCGAATCCATTTAAACCCCATCTGGGAGGCCTCCACTTCTGAGAAGCCCCCCCCCTGCTTTCTTGCGCGGCCGGCCCCCCCTCTTCGCGCCAGCTCCTGCGGTTTGCACGCGCCGTCGAGAGGAGCCGGTGGACGGCCAGACCCCGGCTCGGGAGGCTCGCGGGAGAAGAAGTTACATACATCCAGCCACGACGCTAAGCTTAAGTCGGGCATGCCCCTCCACAGGAGGAATGCTCACGGGTAGTAACGAACTAGACTGGTGCCGACGTTGCGTGCTCCTTTGACTGTGCTTGAACATGGTTTGGCGTTCTTTTTGCTGCTACAAATGATACAACATCCGCCTGCAGAAGGACATGCCCGAGCGAATGCTAAAACAAGGACCGCTCTGGGCTCGGGAAAAAGGGGCTCGCCGTGCTGTTCCCCGGGTCCTTCCTTGGCTGCCCCTCTGGCCATCCTTTGTGCACTCGGGCGCTGCCGGCGCCAAACATTGATTGGGCCTCGTGCCTGACGGCCGAGGCCGGTGATAAGGATGGGCCACCTTCCCAAGGGTACACCTTAGGCGATGCTTAAGAAAACTTAAGTTTTCGGCCAGAGTCTCGATTATTCTTAACTTTTCAATGTAACTCCCAAGATTTTGATAGAAGTTCTGGGTTTTGTTCAAGTCCTGAGACCATGAATTTCTTAACCCATGATTTCTTAAACATTTCGCAGGGTGTACCCTTTGCATCCCTGCCTCCTCGGTCCGTCCTCGATGGCTTCCGATGGCCAGCCCCGCTCAGAAAGCCTCGACGTGGGCGTCCGAGGGGCCAGCATCCTCGTCGCGCGTCCCTGCTGTCGGTTCTGACTGTATGAACCGTTCCTCGTTTCGGCAGCCCTGCTTCAGTATCGTTTAGCCGATCCCCATCCTCATCCCCCTCTCCTTCGAGACCCCCACCAAATTACCCCCCCTAGTTGGGGATGCACCCCTCGAAGACCGAAGGGGGCGGCCTATATCCCCATCTAGGGGGGCAAATCGGCCAGTGGGGCCCAGGCCACGCCGCTGGGGATGAGGATCGGTTACAGTCGGCCAGGATCAGTAGGTCGACCCTGCCAAATCAAGGGTACCCTTGTGTCCTGTGCCTCGCGACCCATGCCTTCTTGCACTCCTATTGCAACGTGGCCTTCGGAGGGGTCTTCTGTCCCGTCGCGTGCTCTGTCCAATTAACTCGCGACCCATGCCTTCTTGCACTCCTATTGCAACGTGGCCTTCGGAGGGGTCTCCTGTCCCGTCGCGTGCTCTGTCCAATCAAGTCCGCCTGTAGACGATCCTCGGGGAAACCGTCCCGTGCTTCAGCAGCCCCCCTGTGGATGTGCAGGGATCTGTGCGGAGTGCCCCGGTCGGCGCAGGGCCCTTCTCGGCGGCGCCTCGGGCGCCGCCCCCGGGTGAGGCCCACGCGCCAACAGGGGGGGGGGGGGGTCCCTTGGCATCGCTCGGGCGTGTGCATTTCTCCTTCGGCGGGGACCATCGAGGAGCATCCTTGATCATGTGGCGAATCGAAAAAAGCACGCACGAAGCCGAACAAAGCCCAGGGAATGGACGTCCGAGCGATGGCGAGGCCGAGAAATCCGCGCGGGCATCCAAACGCACATCTTCCCACAAATCATAACGCGTAATGAAGACGTGGCCAAACTTAGGTGCAGGGTGTTTACGGAAAACCCATTTCGTATGGGCGGTTTCGTTGTGGTACACCTGCACAAAAAAAAAAACATCCCCGATGTGTTCGGCCGTCCTAACTCAGGTCCCCTCCCAAATGAGTAGTGGTGCTTTCATCGTCTATCATACAGGCAACCCGCATAGCAAGGATGGGCAACCTTCCCAAGGCCCAAGGGCACCCTTGCATCCTTGCCTCCTCGTTCCATCCTTGGCCACTTTCTTTGGCCGCGCCCCGCTCGAATAGCTTCGACATGGGCGTCCAAGGTCCTTGCATCCTTACAGCGCACGTATCCTTACGATATGGGCCGACTGTAATCACTCATGTAAGGCCGGGCCCGTCAACAGGTTGGGTTTGAAGAAGTAGGTCTACGCATGTATCGAAGACGGCTACGGCAGAACACCGCCAACCATTGCCTTCTTGGAACGCCCACGCGGCCGCTTTGGCGGGCACTTTCGCGGCCGCGCCCAGCTTCGCCATTTTCGCGGGCCGCGCTCAGCTTCGCCACTTTCGCCCAGCTTGGGTCCATCCTTGGCCACTTTCGCGGGCCGCGCCCAGCTAGAACAGCTTCGAAACGGTCTCCCAAGGTCCATGCATCCTTATCGTGTGCGTCCGTCTTCATGACACGAGTTGGCTGCACCTACTCGGGTATTTTGCCTCTTGGAGGAGCCGGCCGATGGCCAGCTCCCGGCCTGGGAGCTCGTGGAGACGCCCTACGGGTCCATGCGCCTGCGCGAGTTCGGGTCGCCCAGCGACCCACTGGTCATCCTGGTGCATGGCAAGAGGAGCGCGACCCCGTGGACCCCCGGGGGGGAGTGGAAGGACTGGAACCCCGCCGCCCTGCAGATGGCCGCTGCGGGCTTCCACGTACTGCTCCCGGACTTCCACTCTGGCCCGGTGGAGCTGCGGCCAGGCAGGCTGACGGTGGACGCCTTCCGTGAGCTCATGCGGAGCACGCTGCTTCCGCAGAACGAGCAGTTGCCTTCCCGTTATAGGTCGGCGGTGAAGGCGAAGGCAGTGGTGGTGGGGAAGGCTTGGGGCGCCCACGTAGCAGCTGAGGCTGCGGCCGAGATGGAGGAGGTGGTGGCCACGGCCCTGGTAGTGCCGACCTTTCACGCCGCCGCTGCCAAGGAGCTGTTCCCCCAGATCCAGGGTAGACTCGGTGTCTTCCTTGTCAAGGACGACAGCGTCGTCGACTTCGAGCACACTTCCGATGCCCTCAGGAGCGCTTTAGGCGATCGCATGGTCACCTGGGTCGTTGCCGAGTCTGGAGGCCACCAGCTGGTCCCGGAGTTCGTTGCCCCCCTGGTCAAGTTCGTCGAGGAGTCGTGGGAGTCTTCAGAGCGCGAGGAAGACACACAGAGACAGAGATTCCAGTTCCTTTGAATAAACATGGGTGCACCACATGATGTTTGTTTGAATGCATGTTGAAACCCCCTCCTGCTCCCGTCTCATTCCTGTGCGTCCCGTACCCTGAATTTGTGACTGCGCAGCAGCGAAGACTCTTCGTTATGCCTTTCGCGCCCATGCGTGCTGTGCTGTCGGCTCCAACCGGCGCTGCCAGTTGATCTTTACAGATGTTGTTTGTGGATGGATTTATTTGGAGAGGATTTCTCGATCCAAGATTGGAGTTCACCTCCACTGTACAGTAGTGGTTGAGACATTGTAGCATGGCGGAGCCTCCTTCCTATCAGCTGGGCAGCCAGCTCTTCGACAGCGGGCTGGAATGGCAATGCCGTGCATAGACGGCGCATCGGCAAGCATGTTGTATAATAGAAGGCCACGGACAAAAAAAGAGAGCAAACACCTTACAGGCAACCCGCATAGTAAGGCTGGGCAACCTTCTCAAGGGTACCCTTGCATCCTTGCCTCCTTGGTCCATCCTTGGCCACTTTCGTTGGCCGCGCCCCGCTCGAAAAGCTGCGACATGGGCGTCCAGGGCCCTTGCGTCCCTACAGCGCACGCATCCTTACGGTACGGGCCGACTGTAATCACTCATGCAAGGCCGGGCCCGTCAACAGGCGGGGTTTGAAGAGGTAGGTCTGCGCACGTATCGAAGACGGCTACGGCGGAGCACAGCCGCCCACTGCCATCTGGGAGCGCCCGCGCGGCACAAAAACGTTGGGCCGAGGCCCTGCCAAGCTGCTCGGCCGTGTGCCTATCCCCCCTCGGCCGCTGCAGAGCGGACCCTTTGGGGAGCACTTGGGAGGGGAAGGGCAGAAGGAGAGCGAAGAAAAAAGGAGGATGAGGCGGAGGAGGAGGAGGAGGAGGAGGAGGAGGAGGAGGAGGAGAAGCAGGAGGAGGAGGACGAGGAGGAGGAGGAGGAGGAGGACGAGGAGGAGGAGGTGGGGGGAGCACAGGCGACAGCTTGATGCCCTCATGGGGCCTCCCGGTGGTGTCCTGGGAGCCGGGGTCTCCAAATGGCCTCGTGGGTGCCTGGGGTCTCCTGGGGGTCTCCTGGAACCTCTTGGGGTCTTGTCGGGAGCCTTTGAGGGCCTCTAAGGGACCTCTTGGCCTTCCAAGGTCGTCTTGGGGCTGGGCACTCGTGGGTCCCTCTTTGGGCGCTTTAGGGCCGTCTTGGAGGTCGTTGGGGCAGTCATTGGGGCCTCGTGGGCCGTCTTGGGGACCTCTTGCACCTTGTTGCTGGCCTCTTGGGGACCTCTTGGGGCCATCATGTATCAGGAGGGGAAAAAACACACAGACACAATTAATCCTCGATTCCCCAGAAAAGATGGGAAAATATGGGCATTGGGGGGAAGACAACAACCCAGAAAATATGAGAAAATATAGGGGATATTTTTATGTGTGTATTTATTTGTGTGTCCTGGGGCCCCTTCAATGTAGGCCTCTTTGGCGTCGGAGCGTCGGGCACCCGAAACGGCGAGAATGCAACTCATTGCTGCAGGAAGCCGATGCTTGTGGCATGCTGGAAGTATGTTTTCGCGGGCGATGTTTCTCCCCCAATCCCCGAGTTTCGCCCGAAAAGTTTGGCCGCTCAGAAAAACGAGAAAACCCTGGGATACACCCCAAGGGGGCAATTTGGACGCACCCCTATCGAGGATGGACACCCCCCCATCGTATATCCCAGGGTTGGCACCAAATTTTTGGTCCATTCGGAAACCCCACGAAGCCTGAGATAGGGGTCGACATATCCCCTGTTATGTTTGTAAACCCTCCTGGGGCATCTTGGGGCCCGCTTGGGCCGCCTGGAGGACATCTCGTGCCATATCTCGGGCGAGCGTGGCCGCCTTGGAGGCGGGATCGGCCGAGGGCCCACTTAGTGACGTTAGAAGAGAAGCAGAGCTCGGCGAACCACCCGACAGTTTGCAGTGGCGGGCACCCTCGTTGTGTGCACCGCGTTCGGTCTTGGCATCGTTCGGGCGTGTGCATTTTTCCGTCGGCGAGGACCCTCGAGGAGCATCCTTGATCATTTGGCGAAAAAAAAACCACGCAAGAGACCGAAAAACAACACAGGGAATGGACGTCCGAGTGATGGCGAGGTGGTGGGCACCGTCGTTGTATGCACCGCATTCGGTGGATCCCTCTATGGGGCTGCCAAACGTGCGGTGGGTGCATTCGAACGCTGGCATGTGGGCCTTCGGGTGGGCTACCTGTGGGGCCACGAACCGTCGGAACGGCGTGCCAACATGGGTGCGGTGGGCGCATGTGAACGCTGGCACTTGAGCTTTCGGTAGGGCTCCCTTTGGGGCCACGAAGCGTGTGAGGGGTGTGCCAAAATTGGTGCGGTGGGCGCATGCGAACGCTGGCATTTGGGTCCTCGGTGGGGCTCCCTGTGGGGCCACGACACGTCGGAATGGTTTGCCAAAGTGGGTGCGGTGGGCGCATGTGAACGCTGGCATTTGAGCCTTCGGTGGGGCTCCCTGTGAGGCCACGAAAACGTGTGCGCGGCGTGCCACAATGGGTGCGGTGTGCGCATGCGCACGCTGGCATTCGAACCATCGGTGGGGCCCACCGTGGTGCCTCGAAACGTTTGAGGGGTGCGCCAACATGGGCGTTGTGGCCGCATGCGAACGCTGGCAGTTGAGCCTTCGGTGGGGCTCCTTGAGGGGCCACGAAGCGTGTGAGGGGTGTGCCAAAATTGGTGCGGAGGGCGCATGCTACAATGGCGTTTGGGCCTTCAGTAGGGCCTCCTTATGTGGCTACGAAGCGTGTGAGAGGTGTGCGCGAATGGGTGGGGTGAGCGCATGCGAACGCTGGAATTTGAGCGTTCGGTAGAGCTCCCTGTTGGGCCACGACACGTCGGAATGGTGTGCCAAAATGGGTGCGGTGGGCGCACGCGAACGTTGGCATTTTGGGCCTTCGGTGGGGCCCCCTGTGGGGCCACGACACGTCGGAATGTTGTGCAAGTTGGCGCGGTGGGCGCATGTGAACGCTGGCATTTGGGCCTTCGGTGGGGTTCCTTGTGGGGCCACGACACGCGTGAGGGGCGTGCCACAATGGGTGCGATGTGCGCATGCGAACGCTGGTATTCGAGCCCTCGGTCGGGCCCACTGTGGTGCCTCGAAACGTTTGAGGGGTGTGCCAAAATGAGCGTGGTGGGCGCATGCGAACGCTCGCATTTGAGCTTTCGGTGGGGCCCCCTTGTGGGGCCACGAAACGTATAAGGGGCGTGCCAAAATGGGTGCGGTGGGCGCATGTGAACGTTGGTATTTGAGCCTTCGGTGGGGCCCCTTGTGGGGCCGCGAAACGCACGATGGGGTGTGCCACAATGGGTGCGGTGGGCGCCTGCGAACGCTGGCGTTCCAGTTTTCAGTAGGGCTCCTTGTGGGGTCGCGAAACGCGCGAGGGGCGTGCCAAAATGGGTGCGGTGGGCGCATGCGAACGCTGGCTTTTGGGCCTTCGGTGGGGCCCCCCTGTGGGGCCACGGAACGTGTAAGGGGTGTGCCAGAATGAGATGAGTGCGGTGGGCGCATGCGAACGCTGGCTGGGGCCACGAAGCGTCGGAATGGTGTGCCAACATGTGTGCGGTGGGCGCATGCGATTGCTGGCATTTGGGCCTTCGGTGGGGCATTCTGAGGGGTCATAACGTTGGAAGGGTGTACCAAAATGTGGGCGGCGGGCGCATGCGACGCTGGCATTTGGGCCTTCGGTGGGGCTCCCTGTGTGGCCACGAAACGTTTGAGAGTTGTGCCAAAATGATTGACTGGCTCGGAGGGGAGAGGCGGGGTCGGAGGAGGAAGGGGAGGGAGCAGGGGGAGGAGGAAGGAAAGAAAGAAGGAGGATAACTCGGGGAACTGTTTGTTCAAAGTGAGGACCCAACACCACAGGATGGGGTGGAACAAGTATTACCAAACGCCTGGCACGCCGTGTACCCTGAGGGGGCGTGGCGGCGGATCTAGTGGCCTTCGGCCCATTCCGCTACCGTGTTTGCGCTGTGGGTCAGAAACTTCTTGGATCAATGTTAAGGTCTCTTGGGATGCCTTTTATCGGTCCTCTGTGAGATCTCTTGGGGTGTCATTGGGGGCCTCCTGGGGTCTCGTGGGGGCCTCTCGGGGGCTTCCTGGAGGCCTCTTGGGCGTGCCTCGGGGCCTAGATCTTGGCGCCATCTTGGGGTGGATGGCTCGAAAGGTCGGTTCGTGGTCCCCCTCTTCGGCCTTTTTCGGGGCGGTCTCGGGTCCCCCCTTGCGTCTTGGGTGCATCCTGGGCCGTCTTCGGGGCCTCGTGGGCCGTCTTCGGGGCCCTCCTTGGGGCGTCCTGGGGCGGTCTTGGGAGCGTTGAAAGCCCGACAGAGCGAGACCGCCAAAGTATCACAAATAACCGGAGGCGAATCCATGATCTGTTCCTCTTGGGGCCTTCTGACGGTTGTCTTCGAAGCCTCTTGGGGCGTCTCGCGGGCCTCTTAAGCCGCACTGAAGCCCTGTTGGGCCGCTCTGGAGCGCTATGGCGCCGTAGCGGGGGCCCTTTGGGACCGTCTCGTGGGTCTCTTGGGGCTGCGTGGCCCGTCTTCGGGCCTTCTGGCCCCGGGGGAAGCCACGCGGGAGGCCCCAAGAGGTATGCGGGAGGCCCCTGAAGCGCCCAGGAATCGAGGGTGCGGGCCCTGTGCGAGAGCATTTGCAACTTTCAGTGCAGAGGTCTATGGGGCTTCAGGACACTCCACTTCGTGCCTCGAGGCATGGTGGCGAATGCATGCGTTGACCAGCAATCGAATTGCCTGGCCTGATTGCCCTCCAGATTGCCCGGAGAGGCTGCGCACCGATTCCGTGACAATCACGGCCCCGTGCATCACTTTTGTTGTTTCGTTATTTCTCTTCTTCCGCCCCGTTTCTGATTCTTTCTCTTGGCAGGTCCTGTGGCATACCGCACGGGTGTACAGTGTTGGGAGCACGGTTCTGTCAAACATTCCTGTTTGACACCACCATGTGTTCTTCTCCAAGCCAAGGTTCTACGTTTAAGTCGGGCCTGTCCTTCTACAGGAGGAATATTCAAAAATAGAAAAAAATAGTCTGGGGACTATTGTCCGAGTATTTTCTGTCCACTTGGGAGTATGTTCTTGAGTACTGTTTATTTGTCGTCGAAAATCCCCCTGTAGGGGGACACGCCCGACTCAATTCTACGTGCGGGCTCGCCTGGTGCAGGTAGATCCCATCGTAGTCACGGGTTTGCTCGGAGCCGCCGCGGGCGAATGTCTGGGGCTGGCGCTGCGCCGTGGAACACGTGTAACATCACATCACCCGCGGCCAGCAGGCCATTGGGCTCAGAGTCGGCTCGCCTCCTCAAAATGCCCCCCCACCCCCTCTTCCCCTCCCCCCCCCCCTTCCCCTCCCTCCCCCCCTCCCCCCTCTCCCCATCCCCCTCCCCTCCTCCTTTCCCTCTCTCCCTCCTCCCTCCTCCCTCCCTCGCCCCTCCTCCTGCTACTGCTCATTATCATCACGTCCCTTCGGCGTACTTTTTATGCTCCCTTGCACTCGTCAGCAGCGCCTGAAGCCTCCTTGTAGAATCTAGGAGGTGCCCCGCAGGAGAACCCAGAGTTTCCCAGACATCGCGCGCTCGCTCCTCCTCAAGTTTCTCCTCCTCTTCCTTCTCCTCCTTCTCATCACCGCCATGATGATGGTGATGATCATCATCAGCAGCATCATAATCATTATCAGTATCATCCTCATCATCATCATCAGCATCATCACCCTCACCGTAATCACCATACTCATCATAGTCATCAGCATCGCCACCGTCATCGTCATCGGCAT